GGGTGGAGGATGGATGGATGGATGGATAACATACAGACATAGACAGACAGGTGGGTAGACAGATGGATGACAAATGACATACATGGATAGCCAGACAATGAAATACAGGTTTTCACAGGCTCCACTCTCCTCCTCTGGCATCTCATGCTCCGGTTTTGTGCTGGAATTCTTCGGCAGTGCTTGTTCAACATCGCTCTGATCCCTAGGCTAGTGTGGGAATTAAAGGATTTGCTTTCTTTATCAAAGATGGCAGAGATAAGCACTTGGGAAAATGACCCCTACCTGCTCCCCAAACAAAGTCAGTGACTGACTGGATTTCCTAAGGCAGATGTTAGAATTTACATGACCCACACCCCCAGGAACAAGCATTTGGTGCTCCTTTTGCCAGCAGGATCCGGCTTAGACACACCTTCCTGGCAGGAGAACACCTGTCTTCCTCCCCTCCTTTGTTTCCAACTGAAAGGGAAGGCTTCCCAGATAAAACCTCTTGTCTTTACCCCCTGCAGGGAATTGGAGAGATGTGACAGAGGATCTGGCTTATGATCTGACTTTTGTGACAATGGGGGGCACTCAGAGGAAATGCTGGTGTCTGTGTTTGAGACTCAGAGGCAAGCAGAAGAAAGAAGCACACAGGAAAAGACAGAACCTAGGAGGCAGAGTCGGCGGTGGCAAGCATGGCAGAGGATCCCCACCGGTGTTCTGGGCCCTCCCTGCCTGGGCTTCCTCTCATCTTCATCCTGTCTAGAGGCACACAGTACCACAGCTCCTCTGCACACATAGCTCACTCCTTCCTACAGGTTCCTATCTGGAAAAGCGCCACGCTACTGAGTTGCTCTAGGGAATTAACAGGCATGCCAGATACTAACAACCCAACGAGGATGACGCCAGCATCCTGCGTTTCCAAGTGCTGCATGCTTCCTTTGTGTTTCCGGGCAAGTCATGGTGGAGCTGTCTCAGGCATATGCTGGACTTCAACACCGAATCATGCTGACATCCCGACGGATGACGGACCTCTCTGTTATGTGGTCACAGGGAGGATGGCACCTCCCCTGACTTCCAAATCTCACCCAACACAGGTATCACGGGCACTGGAACCAGAGCAACTCCATCTTGAACAGGGGCTGGGTAAAATGAGGCTGAGACCTACTGGGCTGCATTCCCAATGCTTAAGTCATTCTAAGTCACAGGATGACATAGGAGGTCAGCAGAAGATACAGGTGACAAAGACCTTGCTGATGAAACAGGCTGCAGTAAAACTGGCTGAATCCCATCAAAATCAAGAAGGAGACAATGGTGACCTCTGACTGACCTCACAGCTCATTATACATTAATTATAATGCAGTAGGTACTAAAGGACACTCCCACCAGTGCCATGACAGTTTACAATCGCCATGACAATGTCAGGAAGTTTCCCTCAGCTCCAGGAATTGCCCACCCCTTTCCCAGAAACTCACAAAAAATCCACGCGTTGTTTAGCATAAAATGAAGAAATAGCCATCAAAATAGCCAACCAGTACCCTGGGGGCTGCCCTGCCTATGGAGTAGCCATACTTTTATTCTTTTACTTTATTTTTAATAAACTTGTTTTCACTTTACTCTGTGGACTTTCCCCAAATTCTTTTTTGCGAGAGATCCAAGAACGCTCTCTCGTGGTCTGGATCAGGACCCCTTTCCATAACACAGGTATGGGGTTTTAGAAGAAAAACACATTCTCGCCTTCCTTGCACGCTGTTCATCCAGAAATCAATTGTATTTGGCTGATTTACCTTGATCCGATCTGTGCCCTCCTGAACTCTGCAGGTTACTTCAGAAAGGCTCTGTGTGGAAGATTTATTTTTTAAATTCTTTTTAAGACTCATGAAGTGCAGAAGTGAGAAGGGGGGCAAGAGTGGAGCAAGGAGTTCAACCTGCAACTAACTATGAAAATCAACTGAGATAACTCGCTGCCTTCAGACCAGCCCAGAACGTGAATTTTATATTTAAGGAAGATATAGATATTTAGATGTAAAAATCTCAGCAGGCATGCATGCGTGGCTCCTTCACAACTTTGCGATTTTTGCCTCTTACTCAAACAAACTCAACTGCCAATTCACACTGCCAGCCTTAGCAGGGCAGCAGACGTGTGTGCGGCCACACTGTGTGTTTGCAACACTCACAGACTATTTTCAAGACTGCAAAAATGCCCAGGGATGAATGGATGGGGGAAGGGGTGCTGGCCTGTGAGATGAAGATTCTCTACGGAGACTCTACTTACCCGGAGAGCATCTCGAATATCAGGATGCCGAGGGCCCACCAGTCCACGGCCCTCCCGTGGCCCTTGCTCTGAATGACTTCCGGGGCCAGGTACTCGGGTGTTCCGCAGAGGGTCCACGTCCT